AGCACTTTTTTCCAAAATATTTAGTTTCAGCTCTCCAACGCTCAGCCATGGTAATCTGCCATAAATTTAATTTCACTGAATTTATTTATGAAATCTGCAATCTCATTGTAAGCATTTTCAGGTAATTCACTTGCTTTACTCAGCTCTTGAGACTTTGCTTGAAGAAGTTTCGAGACAGTGTCAACAGAATATAAGATGTTAGTTTAAAGCACAATAAGAAACTGTTTGCAAAGACTGTAAATGTTTCAGCAAGATACCAGCTTCATAACGTTTCCCAGGGTTATTATTCAACAGAATAATATTTGACTGACATTTCATGATACCTATAACGTAATGCCATCAAACACTTAACACTTAAGTCGTGATGACCATCGTGTGGGTCAGTGTTACTTTAAACTCGCCGATTTTTGATTATCTTGCCCCTCTCTTTAGGCTTTGTCAACAAAAAAATCAACACAGTTTGTTAACAAGTTCAAAAAGAGACTGTAACTTCTGTAATTGATTTAATCAAATGATTTAAAACTAAACTTAAATTGTAATAGGCACAGTGAACATATTTAGAACTTGGATATTTTTCTAGTATCCATGCTTGAACTTCTTTGTAAGCAATAGGCATATTAGGCGCTCCATCGTACCTTTCGACTTCGTAACTTTGACCTGTCAAGGACTCTTTCTTCTAATCACAGTAGAATTTATGCCTCCATTTCATATTATGGCTGGATACTTTACAGAAATCCAAAATCAACTTTCATTTATTTTTATTTCTGCTGGTTTTATACCGTCTTCCTTGGTGATTACTGTTAAGTATCTAACTATAAGGCTTAGTTCATCAACTTTGGCCACATCTAGAATAGTGTTTAGGATTATTGAGAAAAATTGTGACTTTTTATTTCACTGTTTATGCCTTTCACACTTTATTGAGAAAGTAGTTCAATTATTTCGTTTTGAATTATAGGGCTTAAGTATTTTACTGAAGCTTTTGGTTTCTTGAGAAGTTCTTCAAACATCAGATTGTATGTACTCAGTAACTTAAACAAAGGAAGAAAACTGACCTCTTGGCCAACTCCTTCATTGTCTCCACTGGATGCTTCAATTTATATCTTATTTTTTGAAGTCTATCATGCACCCAAATTACCATGAGATCACCACTCATCATAAACTACACAAGACTGTACATGTACGACAGACGTTTCATGCCTTTTCACACCTCTTGTTAAATGCTGTCACTTAGAGAAACCTGTAATCCAAACATCATGAAGACTGGTCTTCATGTGAGCTCCAAACAGCCAGCATGGTTCACAATAACATGTGTTCATTGCCGGTGAGAAGCACAACTATGTCCGCTGTAAATTAATCCCGGCTTTAGACTCCATTTCGTAAAAGTGAAGCATTAATAAAATCACGTTCCTTATTTGGACCGTCAGCATCGCGTGGGAATTTTACCTTTGTCCTACATGACCCTATTTTCAAAACAAAACGTATCTGTTCAGTATTTAAATTATATTTAAAGTTTGCTTTGTTGCTGGATTCTCACAGTTTATAAAATCACTGATAAAGGAATTAGTCTCTGTTTTGAAGAATTATTATTATTATTATTACTGTCTTCCACATTACCGCTAGTAAAGTTATGACTGAATGTTGTCAGTTTGAGATTTGTTATTATATTCAAATCTTACTTGGTCTTCCGGCTCAAATTCACAAAACGTGTTTGAGGTAGACCACTTACTTCTTTACTTGTGAAAAAAAAAAGTAATCTTAAGAAGTTTTTCAATTACTATTTCTTTTTCATGCCGTGTTTTACGTTTAGCATCGCCACTTAAAACTTGCTTTGTCATTTTCCAATTCCAAACTACAACAACTTTAGTAGGTAGGGGTTTTCCTAGTGTGCAGTTGATCAGAAATTGTGCACCTGTAAAAATATTTGTGGAGTTGAAAATTCACACATATAAGTAAGTTCAAGTGGATATGTATTAAAAAAACATATTTAAGATTACAGCTTTCCATTCCTGAGTTGATAATTCAATTTATTTACTAGAATATTCTTCATTTTTTGGATCATTTGTTAGTAGATCTGTACATACGAAGGTGTCATGTATTAAAAAATGAAGAAGTTAAAGTATAATTGTGCAACTGAAAAAAATCCTTAGGAAAAGCTCTGTTAGTAGGCTATTATAAAAAGGATATGCAGACTATGCAGTATACACAAAACAAAATAACACTAATGGTAATATCACCGAAAAACTATTCACACCACTTAATAACCACGGCCAGTAAATAGGGATGTCGAATTTTTTTACCTACGACGTAAAAGAAGAGCATATTATCGTTGCTTGATAATGTAGCCTACTTATTTGCTATTGTTTAGCAAGTGCAGTTTAAATTAATTCTTAAATCTTTAAACAAACATCGGGTAACATTTATATTACAAAGACGAACTTTAATACATTTATTATAAATTGGTGTAATACTAATATACGATTTATGAACTGAAATTAATGCTGCTATTTACATAAAGAACAACAACTTATAATTGTGCAGGGTCTAGCACTGTTGCCAGACTACTTTACATGAATCCTGACTTTTGTTTGTATAGTAATAAGAAAAAAGAGTAACTTGAAACAAGTTACAAACCCTTGAAAACGGGCCCATCATTACCGTGAACTCGGCACGGTTCTGCCCCCATGCGCTGTCTATATTTAAGGCCCTGCTAAGGAGGAAAACTTGTTCATGAGCGGTCGTGATAATTCATAAAAATATACAGAATGTGTAAAAGTAAGAGAGAACTATGAATCCGCTGCTCATTTTGGGCCCGAAAGTGCGATATAAATTGATCATGGACATCGTCACAGAGGATGTCGTGGAAACGACCAATTTTTTGAACCTTCACTGCATTTTGATGGTCACGAAAAATTGTAACCGATGCTGAAAAAATTGTCAACGTGACGATTATAATTTTATATTCATAAGCTCTCCTGTTTGCTGGTGTGTTTCTTCAATCTCATTTCAACCTTAGTATGAACCATATATTAGACTCACAGCTTACTTGGCCTACATGTATTAGTGATTTCAGAAACGACCTCACCTGAAAAAAAATACTAGCTACGCTCGTGAAAATGATTTCACAGTCAAATCGCACTATGAATTAGAGTAGCGCAAAAGTTGGCAGTGGGTGTTACTGACTAGCTTCCTTTATTTAGTATACCACTTCAAAATTTGGGAAGGTTAGAGCAGATGAACAAAAAAAAATACAGAAAACATTATAAAGTATGAAACTGTAATATGGTGTTAATTAAGAAAACATAACTTGACCACACTTTTACAAGAAGCACGTTACTATACTGGCTTTTGTTTACTTTTGCTTGGGCTAAACAGTTTCAGCATATATTTAACAGATTAACATATCTGAATGTTATTAGACAAAATGTCACAGTTTGAAACTAGGGAGAAAATGTCAGAATTCTATTAGTACCTGACAAGTCGATGAGTGAGTCGTGTAGTTAAATTTTACTCATTTTCAATTGTAATAAGTGTGGAAACTGAACAGAGACTAAGAACAATATAAGCATATCTCTAGTTTAAATATATTAACATATCACAAGTTTCCCTTTTACAAGTTATAAACAGAATCAGCAAAAGATAAAATTATTTCGTCAACATTAGGATGTGGTATACAATACTTATAAGTGGTAATTCCTCAATTTCAAATATACTAAACACAAATAGATTTATCGAGAATTTTTCTGCATTAGAAGTATAATTAAACAGAAAATTCTTAACAATTTGGGCGAATAAAAGTTGCTCTTCAGATCATAAATGCACGAAATGTATAATTTCTACAAACTCACTATACTACTAAACTTTAAACTGTCCATAATTCTTCAAATGCAAATACAAGGAACAATACACACTATGTAAAAGAAATAAAAACGATAATAATATTGTTAATTTTAACATTAGGATACGCAAGAGGGAGTATCTTGAACCCAGCCTCAAATTATTCTTTGCCAGTTGTCCATTTATTTAGTTACCTGTTTCTTGTTTTCTGCTAGCGTCAATTAATTATCCCCAAACAATGTCCAATAAGCAGAATTATGCTCAATTCAATAAAATTAAACATTCTGTGTTTAGCATTTCATTTACGAAATTATGAGTAGCATAATCAAGTATGATCAAACTACATTCTTGTATATCTAAACAAACATTTCAATATCTTTTAGTTTCCGTTTAATATATATACTATGTCTATAGCAAATAACTTATTTTTGTCCCTCATTTCCCATGTGATATAGTGGGCCGCGTGACCCCTACTATGCGTTTCTGTACATTTTGTTACCCATGTGTACTTTATTCCTGTCATTTAACGAATTACAATAGAACTCGCAAAGTTAAACCGATTTTATTAACCAACTAGCAGTATTGAAAATAATTATTTTGTAATAATAATGTATCATTTGAATAACAGAGCAAGCAGATGAAGCGATAGTTTACAAGTGACCATCATATTCATAGTCATGAAATGGTAAAGGTCCAGTAATGTGTTCAAGTTTAGCTGAAAATACGCGATTGATGGTCAATAAAAAAACATCATAACATCTTTGTTAACAAAACGTATGTATTTTGTACATCCTTCACATGTTTAAACAATAAATTAATAGGCATAATTCCCCAAACATGGCTGAAATGCCGTCGAAAACCAACTTTTTTTAAAATAGCATGCAAGACTTGGGTACCATTGTATGTACTACAACGGTGTCTCATAAATAGTTAAACAGTTTGTTAATATTACTTAAAAATAAACTTAAATATGTTTTTGTTAAGCAAAATCAAGATAGCAAAAACATTAGGCTTTAATCCAAAATTTAAGGCAAAACACAAAAGTATATACAAATTTCAAAAGCTAAAACAAAACATGCCCATCATTAATAACATAATATTATTGAATTTCGAAAACGAGGTACATTAAGACACTTGTTAGGCTTAAAACTTTAAAGTCTACTTACTTAAATTGTCAAACTTCCGAATAATGGAATCGATAAAAGTGTTTTGAGGTGCGACATGACCCCTTCGAACAGGCATTTTGAATCGTCAACTAAGCAAAGTGTGTAATGTATGTACATGTATCTCCTACATTAAAAACGTATCATAGCGCTAATACGCAAAGATCATTCACACTAGTAGAACGAAATCAAGCTCGTAACTTAACGCACGGTTCTCTCTGGTGACCGTACTCCCCTGTTTAGAAGGGTTCTCTTCCATGCTGGCCGAGAATGTTCTACTCGTGGTACACGTAATCGATCGGAAGCTTGGTAGATGTATAGATAAGTGGACACGCAGGCAGTGGAGACAAAAACGTTGCTTACTTCGATAATAAAACACAATCATATGTTTTTCATGAATATTATGTTGTTTTAAATCATTACTTTTTAATAAATGTTTTCTGAACTCCACCTATTTCTAAACAGTGAACTAGCATCTACATCCCCACGTTACTATCGTCTGCTGCTGTTTGAGAAGTGGAATAACAAAACGTTTGTATCTGTTCGTATAAAATTGCCATCTAGTGTCCAATTGTAACATACTGTAAATACCTCGACCGTTTTCTATCACGCGTATTCTTGAATGAAACATTTTCTAATTATTGAGTGTTTCTATACTCTCAATACTTTAGACCACAATGTTTGGTATGAAATAGAAATTAATTTGGCTTATATTCCTATTTTTTATTTTTCAACATTACATTATGGGGTCTATACTACTGATTTTTAATACTCATATTTACAACAAATAAATACTTTAAACCATCATACAGAGTGCTCATCACGCGCGTTCCAAGGTATCGAAGAAAAAACTGCTTGATTTACTGACTTCCTCAACTTCTTACAATGCTTCGCTGTATACTTGGTATAATGAGTTTTTTTAAAGTGATCTTTCAAAATAATTCACAAAATTCGTTTATATTAAACTAATTTTCAAATAAATACGGTAAAAAGCCACGTGAAGACAATAACAACCAATGGTTAGGTTATTTGATTATTAAATTATATTTTCAAAGAGATTTTACATATCGGTTTCTGTGAATTACCCACTGTTCGTTAGTATTTATTGAAAAAAAAAAAGTTAAACAGCATATATCCTACTCGGCCTTCAAAAACCTAAGTTATATATATATATATATATATATATACTTATTCCATTTAACTCTAAGTCTTCATCATGATACATCACAGGAACACAACTAATCACAATATGAAATTGTCAGCAATCGGCTGCCTATTCCATTATAAATGACAAAGAAAGTGCAAAAGGTAGGTATAAAAATACATATTTTAGCAAACAAATATGCTTTTCTAAAGCAAAATGTATTTTTGTAATATATATATTGAATAATAAGTGGAAAAGACATGACAAGTGTTAACCAAAATAACTACAGTAAATAACAAGTGTCAACTAGGATATCCAGAGTAGTTAACAAGTGTGTCAACTAGGATATCCAGAGTAGTTAACAAGAGTGTCAGCTAGGATATCCAGAGTAGTTAACATGTGTGTCAGCTATAATATCCATAGTGGTTAATAAGTGTGTCAAATAGAATATACAGAGTGGTTAATAAGTGTGTCAATTAAAATATTCAGAGTGGTTAATAAGTGTGTCAACTAGAATATTCAAACCAAATAAGCTTCACCAGACATATCCAGAATAGATAATAACTCACAATCAACATATACACAAAAAATAACTTGTAATATCAGATTATACAGAGCAAACAACAAGTATATACCAGAATATCTGGAGTTGAAAACAAGCTTGACAGTCAGAGTATCTAAGGTATATAATAATTAGTTTGGCAACTAGAATATCTGGAAAGTGTCATTCAAAATAAGACACAATCTGAATATCCAGAATATATAACAATTTTGGCAATATGAATATTCAGGGCAAAAAAGTAATAACCAGAAATCCAAAGTAGATAATAAGAGTCAACAAGAATATCCAGATTATATAACAATATTAAAACCAAAATATCCAAAGTTAAGCATAAATGTGGCAACAAGAATACCATGGTATATATGTCAACCAGAATATTTAGATTATTTAACAAGCATGACAACCAGAATATCTAGAGTAGATAACAAGTATGGTAGCCAGTATATTTATGGAAAAATAACAAAGTATATCAATAAGAATGTCAAATTATGACAACAAGTATGGCTACCAAAACATCCACAAAAAATAACAGATGTGACAATCACATCATCCAAAGTAAATAGATAACAGCTGTTGCAACCCAAGTCTATAACATGTGGCAACCACAATATACTGAGCAAGTAGATAATAACTGTAGCAACCAGAATATACTGAGCAAGTAGATAATAACTGTAGCAACCAGAATATCCAGAAAAGATAATGTGTGGCAACCAGATAATCAAGAGTATATAGCAAGCATGCCAGTAGAATGTCCATTATAGATAACAAGCAATGATAATATTAAATAAGAAAAAAACAGAGACAAGCAGCAACAGGTTACATAATTTTAAACTGCACTGCAATGTGTCTTAGACTGTGCTACAGACTGCAGTAGCCCATTATGTGATGAAATCAAACAAAAACAATTATTTTGCAGTAGAATTCCTTGGTACACTGAACAACTGATAATATGTTTAAAATCACTGTTGTTCTAATATAATATAATAAACCATCAGGAGAAACTTTCAGTTAAAACAAGACTCAAAGAAAAAGCTAATTTATATTGAAGTTTAATCTTGTCATAAATTCAATATATTTACACTATTCAATTGTAGAAATGAATTTCTTCCCTTAGTAATCACAGTAATTATGTTTATATCTTTCATTTTTCCATTAGTTTGTCATTTCAAACAAACTTTCATCATTTCTTTCATAAGTTAAATTAATCTGAATGAGTTCTTCAACACAAAAATCTTTATACCAGAAGTGATATGGATATAATAAAGAAATCTAAGACATTTTGTTCATATAAATCAGCTATCTAGTGGTTCTGTAAAATACATTAAAATGTATACATACTAGGATTATATTTACTTTCAATAATTAGCCATTTTATTCTTTAGCTAAAACTTGGATGAAAATACTATATTAACCAAATGTGCACAGGGTCAGTTTATTGGACCAACTATGTACTGGAGAATAAATGTTGACTATAATTCCAAATTTACTATGTGTATATGCACAAAATGTGGAAAACATTCAGTAAAATGTACAAGCCTGTTGTACACAAAACCTGCCAACATCAGTCTGACTTAGGATCTGACAGATCAGAGTACAAGATGATGTTCTTTTCCATTGTACAGTTTGCATAACCTACACAAAATAGAGTATCCCTGTATATTATACCTGGTATTTAATCTCCTCTTCCACAAACTATCAGTAAGTCAGCAATTTAGGGTGAAATGAACTGTTGACATATCTGACATCAAATACGTAATACCATGTTGAATGTCACTTTGGAAAAGGATGTGGTGTGTGTACTCTGACCCCCACCCATGCACATATAATTAAACAGATCTTCTATGCTCTTTATAAACTAATTTATAACAATGTAGCCTAAAACTGAAATACCGAATATAATATACAAAACCAGGTTTAATAACAAAGGGTGAAATATTGTAATTGTAACTTCCAAGTTAATAACATACAAATTCACTTTCAGATAACAGGCAGGACTTAATGAAAGCATTGATTAAATATTTCTCCTTTTGGATATTAAATCTTTTCACAAAATACAGCCCAATGAAGCAGATTTTTCTTAAGCACCTTCATTGTAGGAGCCACCTTCAGTTAAAACAGCTTAATTTTTCTGAAATGGTGGTTGGCCTTTGGAATGAGTGGCCTTCAGATGTGTTGGATGCAATAAATTAAAAGAAGTTTAAGGGAAGGCTTGAAGACTTTTTGAATGATAATAACTGGCTCTGAGCATTTTTATTTTAAAGTTTAGTTTAATAGATGGGATGAATTAACAGGTTGGTTCTGTTCTTAAGTTATATATAATATATGTAAATATCATGATTGAGTTTTACTGCTGCTGTCAAGCACAATCTTTATATTTTTTCTAACTGTTATCTAATGTCATAATATTTTGACATCATATACTGAGATGTAAAACAGAACTAATCAGTTGCTATGTAGAAAAATTTATGTTGGTGTGTGTGGTTTTGGTATTAATGATAAAAGTTTGTTTGAGAGAGTTTGCTAACCAGTTTGTATCTAAGTTACTGATAAACTTTGGTAAGCTCTAAAAGGTTATCTACGTAAAGATGAAACCAAAGTGCATCAGATCAATCCACTGTCATCCCTCAGACAGAAAGATTTATTGTGATAAGACACTCACCTATAAGGAACAGAGAATGAGATAAGATGTAACTTTGTCTCATTGTTTTTCCATACCATGGTGGTTGTTGTATAGACATGGTTAGCCTACTCTTATAGTGACCTATGGGAAAATCCACACAGTTGTTACTGTAACCCCAATGGTCACACACATAGTATGGGTAGTTGGAATGAAAGACAAAAGGCATTTGCTCTAAAATTATTTATTGTGCATGCATAACTGCAATTAGAATGCAAAAACCTCATTGATATATGTTGCTGACAATGTCAATAAAGAAGAGTTTAGTGGAGGATTAAAGTTACTTTTATTGTGATTTTTTTTTTTTTTATTAAGGATTGGAGAAGACATACATTGTTGCTCTCCTAGCTACAAGAAGGAAAGTCTGGCTCTCAGCTATAGGGCAGAAATACTAATGGAAAACAAACGACATAATACATTTATGTGGCATGTATTTTGTCAGTGAAAGAAAAAGCAAATACTTGAAATCTGTAGATTACATTCCAAAAATAATTAACTTCTGAGGTGATACAAAATAACAAGAACATATTCATTTGATTGCTAGAGAGCTTCAGGCTCCAAAAATATTCAACATGAAATTAACGTGACATTGAATGATTTCTCTCATAGTTAAGATGTATGTAATAGTAAGTTTATGAAGAATTATATTTTTATAGCCTAAACCTCTGTTATAGAGTATCATTATAAATACCCAGTTTTTGGTTTAGCTCTACATTTTAGTGGATGCCTTGACACAGTGAAACATGGTTGTATGTCTGTCATTTCCTTTTTGTTTATTCTCAGTGCTTATTGTCTTTATCAAATGTCCTGGGTATCCATTGTTAAGGAGGATTGTAGCAATGTGTTTTTCTTCCATTTTCTTAGCATCTTCAGTATTACAAATCCTGTTTACTCTTGAAACTAGGCAGTCTATGGCATCTGTCTTGACACTGTTTTAATTTATATTTATATATTTACCTGTACATGTAGGTTTCTTGCAACCTGTGATGATTGAATTCTGTGTTCTGGTAACCACCACTTCAATGAATAAAACTTAATTACC